CCAGGGTGAATGTAGAATGTTTGATCCCATCTTTTTTTTACTTAATTGTTTATTTGTAATAAGAAAATTATTCTTATGAATTTTTTTGTTATAAAAAAAACAAATAATATTTCAATTATAAAATCACATTTTGATTATTATTTTGCTTTCTTTTTATGTTTTTTCTCAGTTTCTTTTTTATGAGAAATTGTGGGATAGAGTTTCTTCTCTTTTGATGAACATTCTTTTTTTGTTTTTTCTTCTTTACTTTTTTCCTTTTCATTTTGTTCTTCGTTGTTTTCGTTTTGTTCTTGATCTTTTTCTTGAACAGACTGTTTTTTTATTATTTTTTTATCACTAACACCACACTCTTCTTCTTCCGACATCATCTCTTCTGGATCATATACCTTTTCATCTTCTTCAGCTAAGTTGAGCATTTCTTCTACTTTACGGAGGTTTTCTTCACTATCCTCCCTTTCATCTATTGTTTCTATACAACTTAATTTAAAGTCTCTTTTCAAAAGCTTTGGGACAAAAAGAAAGTCAGCTAGCTCTTTAACCATTTCATCCTTTTCTTCACATTCTATATCAAATAATTTACACAATAGTTTAATATCATCTTCACTAAGTTTTTGAGCTATCCTAATTGCTAATTCTCTTTGTTTAATATCTTTAAATCCACTGAACAAAAGTATGTCATCTAATCGTTCTGAATCTTCACCTTGTTTATGATACATTAGTCTATGAAGTAAAATCAGAGAATCTACTGATAAATTATCTATACCTTCTTTAATACGTTTAGAACTTCCAAGAGGAATTCCTCTTCCTTGAAACAACTCAGTTCCTTTGATTAGTCCACTTGAATAATGAGGAACAACCTTTCTTTCTCTTTGGCTTCTAGTTTTCATATTTTAATTACTTTCTCTTTTTAAAAAGTTTTTTGTTAATTTTTTGTTTTTAATGATTCTAATTAACTAAAATTTATTTTTATTTTTTTGAATCGTTTTTTTTATGAACAAAAGAAAGAACAGTTAAATTAATATTTTCAATAGAGATGTAATCAATTAAATGAGTTACAAATTAATCAAATGATAATACTATTAACATTATTTTAGGTGATAGTTGTTCAAAATAAATTTTTCAAAACTCATAGAAGAAAAATAAAATTAATTTAAAGAGAAAAAAAAATAAAGTAAGAATTAGTCTTCAACACTAAATGCGAGAGGGATATTTTGAATATACGACTTTGTGGTATTTAAATTAACTACAGTTAAAGTGAAATTTTCTTTAACAGCACATTCTCTCAAAGGAGTAAGTTTACCGTAGATACAAATAATATCACCAGCTCTAATATTACCTTTATCAGGAGTAAATTCTAAATCATAATCATCTTTATCTAAACGAGGGTCACCAATAGCAAAACTACAAATATTTAATGATTTATTACCAACAAATAATTGAAAAACATATTTTTTTTTCAATTCTAATTTATCAACAATATGCTCTAAATCTTCTTCAAGATAGAAATTAATTTCATTAGAGAATGAATACATAAATGGAGAATTATTAATATAATATAATGGATATCTCTCTGCTTCATTTTCTTCAAATTGTTGAAGTTTAGCTGTTGATCCTGATTCATAAATAACAACTCCACCACTTCCAGTAATATTTAATCTTGACCTTGCTTTGATGTATAATTTTATTAAAATAAATGCCAATACTCCAACAATTACTATTATTGCAATACCTGATTGAACTGCCATCCATGCAATTAATCCACTTTTCTTTGAAATAATACATCTATTTTCTAAGTTATCTGCTGGAATATATCCAACATAACATGTACAATTTTCATCACAATTATCTACTTGATCACATTGTTCATCTGAACTTCTTATTTTATTTCCACATACTGTTTTACAAATTCCATTTAATAATTCATATCCATTATCACATTCTTGACATCTTGTACTTATATTTAAATGTTCTACATTACATGATATGCATGGATTAGTTAAATCACAGTTACATGTATTTCTTTCACATTTTAATTCACATTTACCATTTGTTGAAACATAATTATCAATACATAAACATTTTTCTGTTTTACATCCATCTCCTTCTTCACATTCTTCACCAACTTCTGTTGTAACAATACCATCTCCACATACAGGAATTGTAGATTCATAAACATGATTATCAACTGCATTAACTATAAAAACTCTTCTTATTTTTTCATCTTTATAAATAGCAACAGCACGACCAAATCCATAATGATCTTCTAATACTGGAGGTACAAAATACATTTTAAATTGAAAACCTTGTTCTTCATCATATGTATAATGATAAATAAGACCCATAGAATATGCAATATTTGAATGTTCTACAACAGCTTCAGGAGCAGAAATTACTAAATATAATATTTTTTTATCTGAATCATATGAAGTATCAATTACTTGTCCAAATGAATGAGTGTCATCAATATGAATATAATTAAATGTTGGGGTATTTATAAAATCAAAATCTATATGAATCTTATTTGTATTAGTATCATAACTTGGTTTAATTACTAATACACATGGTGTATCGCTTTTACTTTCTTTATTTCCAATGTCTGTGTTTTGACTCATAACAAATAACCATTTTATATCTTCATTATACCAAAATTTTATATATTCACTAGAAGCCATATTGCCAAGATTAAAAATTCCTTTATTATTACTATAACTTGGATATTTTGTTCCCCATGCATCATCATAATAAGGACTTTTATTCTCTAAATTTTTATCTAAAGTGAAGATTTTCAAAAATGTTGTATTATATCCCTCTTTAGGATTAATATGATCTCCAATTGCAAACAACACAAATGTACATTCATTTGTTGTTGGATTCTTTACACATATTGTTGCAGCTCCTTTACCAAGATGTGTTAATTCATTATTATCATGGCCTGCTTCATCAAATTGAACATTGTCTTTAATGTAAGCATTATCAACAATTGGTGCGTCTAAACGAGGGATGTGATCAATTTGACATATCTTAATAAATCCAGCTCCAATTTTTGGTACAAATCCAAGGGTTAACATTTGATTATCTACAAACACTGTTGATGACCCAGAAAATGACGGTTCATAATCAATTAAATCACCTACTAATGTTACTGAAAATCTTCCAAACCTAGATCTTTCACGACCATACACAATAAATTGTTTTAGATAAGATGAATAAACTGTTGTATATCCACCTGTTAAACTTCTGAATGGACCATCTGTACGAACCGTTTCAAATGATGTTTTATTTACTGAAATAATAGAAGATTTAGCTAAGAAAATTAATTCGAACTAACTTAAATCTTTAATTTAAATAATAACCAAACCATTTCCTGTAACAATCATATATCCATCATTATTAGAAGCAATTCCAAAACACACATCAATTGGTAATGAAAACACAAATTGTGCAACACCTATATTACCATTTGACAACGTAAAAAAAAAGCAAAGTATGAGAACTATACTTATCATGTTCGACTGACCTTTAAATTCAGTTTTCTTTTCATTTCAAGTTATATTTTTAGAATTTTTAATTTTTTTAATTTTTGACTTCTATAAAAATAAAATTCTTATTCTTAACATATGAAATAAGTGTTTTTCTTAGGAATTTTAACTTTATTCCATACATACGTTTACTATACACTATTTGTTATATCATAAATATACTTTCTTTTTTATTTATTATATTTTCACTTTTTTAATTATTTAGAAAAAGTCGTATTAATGAAAATAACTCTTTTAAAAATTAATACTATTTTATTATTGAATAGGTATTTGTTTGATGAGACTTATTGTCTCGTTTGATTTACTAACATATTAGATACTTTTAACTATTATTTTTCATATAAATACTTATAATTTTTATTATGTAATTGTTATAAATAAATTATTAATTGATACTAATTTATAGTTCAATTAAAAGAATTTATTTTATTTTGATAAACAAAGTTTAAAGTTAACAAAGTTAGAATATTTAAAGTATGTTTTTATAAAAAAGACTTTTTAATATGATAATAGTATTTTTGAAGTATTTGATGATTAATTCATAGAAGATTAATGTTAAAGAATTAGTCATTTAAATAATACTGTTTTTATAATTCAAGAATAATAAATAATTTTTAGTATTAATGTATTTTCTACTATTTTAATTTTTATAAAATAAATGTAATACTTGTTAAATAAAAAAATATAATCTTTTAAAAAATTAATTCACCAACCAATCAATTAATATAAATATTTATCAAATGAATATAGTATTAGGTATTGACTTTAGTCAATTGGTTGGTTTAAAAGATAAATTCCTTTATCAAAAAAAAAAAAACACAAAAAGATAATTTTTGTTTTTAAAAACTTTAAGAAAAGAAATAATAAAAAAATTTCTATTCTTTTTTTATTAAACTTTATTTATTTTTTAGTTTCTTTTTACTATTGTTTCAATGACAACTGTACAGGCATCAATAAATAAAAATGCATATCCTTTTTGTCTTCCTGCATCATTAAGTCTACCAAAGAAAAATTATAGTAAAATATTTGAGCATCAAAGAAAAGAATTTCGAACAAATGAATTATTAAGGAGAGAAAAAATGAAAGAAATGATTAAAGAGATTGAGCAGAATGAAAAAGTGTCAGAAAAGGGAGAGGGTAGTGGGATTAGAGATGCTATGAAGAATTTACTCAAAATGGAAAAATGTTCTAATTGTAATAAAGATATTATTCTAGGTACATTCATTTACACTTGTGAATGTTGTGAGGCTATGTTATGTGGAGAATGTATAAAAAAGAGAAAATACCAAAAGAAAAATGATGAGATAGTTGATGTTACTTTATGTAAATATTGTGATTTTATTTATATTGCTGTTACTGAAGATGAAAATTATAAAAAACATATAAAACAAGGAAATGAAGATGCTGTTTATTTATTAAGATGTCAAATTATTAATTCATGTATTTCTTATATGGAAGAATATGCTACATTAAATTTATTTATAAACAGATTAATGTTAAACTTAAAACCAAAGAAAGAAGATGTTAAAAATTGTCAAGATGAAATGAAAATTGTTAAAGTTAAAACACAAAAAGTGTTATCACTTGATGGATTTGTTGATGCTTTTGATCAACCAGAAAGAAAATCAGACCAAACAGTATTTAATAATATTGTTAGAAGTATGAACATATTTAAAAGAGATGTGGTGTTTGATTCAATTAATGAAGTAGTTATGTGTGAGAAGATTTTACAAGAAATAAATGGAATACGAGAAACAACACCACAAATCATTGGCTTTTCTAATACTATGGTACCAATGACTGGTGGGACAATTAAAATCACTTTAACATCAACAAAAAATGTTAAAGTAATGATTAATGAAAAGATAATACCTTGTACTATTGATGGACTAACAATTATAGTTAAAATCCCACCATCAGTTCCAGGACAAGTTAATGTTAATATCCAGTTATTATACAATGAAACAACAATCAATTTACCTGGACCAATTATATATTATAACGTCTCAAAAGATCAACAAGAAAATTCTTCAATATCTATCATTGGATCAAAACATAAAATTAGTATAGTTGAATGTGATGAATCAATAAGTGATGATGTTAGTGAAGAAGAAATGTGTTCTTCTGATAACACTTCTAATGAAGGTAGTGAAAGTTCTGATGGAGAAGAAAACATTATATTATTCAGTAAAAACAAAAAAGAAGAAAAACCTAAACAAGATATAATCAATACACCTCAAACAAAAACTGAAGACAAAGAAAAATTGACAATACCTGCTAGAAAAAGTAAAAGAAATAATCTCTTTAGAAGAGGAGGAATTATTAAAACTGTTAATTTAAATGAAACTGAACAATATCAACCTCAAAATGTAAAAACAATAAAAACAAATAATTTCTTAATGGATAACTCTATTGAAATTACTATGGTTAGACCAAAAAACATAAAAATTAAAGAAAGAGTTATATTTACTATTAAAGGAAGTGGATTTGGAACATCTCCAATGGTATTTATTGGAGATAAAGAAGTAAAAGAATATGAAAAACGAAGTGATAATTTAATTATTGGATATTATCCAATAATTGAAGAGTCTGACGTTTATGATTTAAAAGTAAAAAATAGTTTTGGAGGAGAAGAAATTAAACCAAAAGAAATTAGAGTGGAAGATTAAATAAATTTATATTTTTATTTAGAATTACCTTGTGGTTTTATTATCATCAAAACAATATTTCACAAAACTATTTTCTATCAGCTTCTTTCCCTAAATTACCGAATTTTTTCATTAATTCTTTAGAATCAGAAACTCTATTTATTTGAATTTCATCAATAAAGTCAACAGCTTTACTTGATTGTATTCGTGGTCTTAAATTATGTTTTCTTATTTTTTGAACATTTTTAATTGAAGTTAATCCTTTCTTTTGAATTTTTTTAGGTTTTATTTCATCTTTAGTTTTTATTTTTTGGGGTTTTTCTTCTTTTACTTCAAAAGACTCTTTATCTTTATTTATTAACTCTTGTTCTTTTTCTTTTTCTGTTAACTGATTAATAACTTTTTGATTATCAGTTTCATTATTAATTTTTAAATTATCTGTGTTTTGAATATATTGATTTATTAATTCATTTATTTTTCTTTTAAATTCTTTTCTTTGAGTAAGTTCAATTTCCATTTGTTTTTGTTCTTCTTTAATAAATTCATTTTCATTTAATGCATCTTTAATTTTTTGCAATTGAGGATCTGGTTTATTTAAACGTTCTTTTTCTTCTGTTTTTATCATTTTGTTAATGTCATCTATCGTATATTTCCCTTGAGTTTTCGAATCATCTTCTGTGTATAAATTATTCGACATTTCACTTTCATCTCCTTCAATATAAATTTCATTCACATCAATAACTGGAACTGTTGATACATTAAAGCTAGAATAAATCTTAATAATTTCAAGATATGATATCCCATTAATGATAAGCTCCTTTTCTTTTTTAAGGTACTCACAGCTCATAATCTCTTTTTCAATTACTTCATATATCCTTTTGTCCTTTCCTGCTTCTTTCATTAAAGTTCAAAAATTTATATTTTATAGTTCTTTACTAGTTTTATTCAATCTTTTATTAATCCGTTTCTTTATATCTCAAAAAAAACATCGTTCAAATTCTATCAAGATTATACTAACTTTATTTTAATAACAATCCAAAATAAAAGAGGAATTCATTTAAAAGTTTAATTAAAATATGATAATTTGTAATGATAGGTTCTGAAAATAGTTTTTTTTGGTTAAATATGATATTCACTTAGCTCATTTTTAGAATAAAAAGAAGATATCAGAGAAAAACTTCCATTAAATATTACTAAAAAAAATCTATAATCATTTTTGATATAGCCCCATAATATTTTTTAAATAACAGATGGCTTTGTAACGAAATGAAATTAGAAGCATGAAATAATAATTAATATAGTGAAATAAAAAGTATATGTATTAAACAAAAGTGATAAAAGAAAATTTCAATTAAATAACATTTCAATATATAAAGAAATAAATAATATACAATTTAGTTAATATCATTATACAAGACAGAGTTGAAACTGAAAATATACAAGCAATTAGTTATGTTTTATTAGACATAAGTATAATAAAAGAATGTAGTTAAGAGTTAAACAAATTTCAAAAATTTAATAGAAATAAATTAACATATAAAACATTTGTTACAACCAAAATAAAGAGATAGGAAAAAACCACTAAAAGATAGAGTTGATCCATCAACAAAACTTATATAAATAAAACAATTAATAATTACAAATAGAATAGAAACAAAACACTAATATACAAAAATTAATGGATTATAAACATAAGTACATAAACAATTAAAGTTAATCAGAATTAAGTTATAATAATAGAACAAAGAATATAAATTTTGAAATTCTTATTTTTGGAATAACTCAAAAAGAGAGTCACCACCAAGACTATCAAACCGAATAAATAGTAAAGATAAGCACCTATATACATTCATGAGAAAATTGTAAGAAAACTATAATAGTAATTATAATAAATTTGAACATCAATAATTAGTTATATTTTATAAATGAAGAATAAAAAGTACTATACCACTCTTTTTATTTGATATGAAAAATACAATACCATAAAATTCAAAAATAGAAAATTGCATGAACCAAAAAAAATAAATCAAATAACAATCAAACAAAATATGAAAAAGATATCAATAGTAAGAATTAAGGTACTAACACAAACAGAAATAGAATAAATTACAAATACAAGACTCATAAAAATACGTAATTAACAATAAAGAGAATAAATGATTGAACAAAAAATGAAAGAGGATAAAAGAAAGAAGATAAAAGAAGAACATAAAAAAGTTAATTGAATAAAATACAAGTTTTAAATTGTTTGAGAAAGTAAAATATTAAAAATAATAATGATAACAAGAAAATATGTAATATAAGGGTATATAAATATATTTTAATAAGAGTTTCAAAGAAAAGAATAAACCAAGAAATTGTTAATGTAAAAAGGTAACATAGTATTAAAAATAAAAGATAATAAAAGAGTATGACAAACAATAAAATACGTTAAGAATAAAGAAGGAAGTCAAAATAATAAAAATAACCAAATAAATATTAATAGAGTTATTTTTTTAATATTTCTTA